AAATATTTACCGAAGCTCGGCTCGTAAATTCCCTTACACCTACATACACGTACATACTTACTATATACGTGTATATGTATCGACAAAAATCAAAGTGAAAGTAATGACCAACCAGTAAGAAAAGCAACGGTCCAGCGTATCGGCGGGCGAGTGTGAGTTGGACAGAGACATTAGGCTACCGTTTTGTATGCAACCGACGCGTCGGCTGCTGCTGCTGCTGATGCTGCTGTTCCTGCCGATCCAATTGTTATCCTGATACACACAAAAAAAAGGAAAACACGAGACAAATCTGGACTGAGACACCTTGCATTGTCGGTGTGAGGGTTTTCTTCTTTTTTTTTCCGCTTTACCTTTGGCAGCTGTTGACGCATTGTCCGCTAGAAAGGCAAAGCTGGCCAGGATAACGGAGGACATTTCGGTCCAGTACATATGCGAGTAGGCTTACCTGCCCAGCGGCTTAGCGCTAAGAGAAAGCAAACCAAAAGAGCATGAGAGAAATGCATGCTGGTTACTCTTTTGATAGTGTTTGTAGCGCACTCTAACGGATGGTAGCGGCAACTACGAACAGCCCCATGCTAGAGAAAGAGAGAGAGAGAGAGAGAGAGAGAGTACATGAGTTTATGGAATACTAGAGGCCAGTATTAAGCTATAAGATATAGGATTTCTGATACAATTATTTGAAATATAAATGGGGATGGTAAGTACAAGTATGATTCGATCCGGAAGTTCGATTGCGACTTTGCTCCACTTTTAACAATGTGTTGATAGGTATCTACGATGATAGTATTTAAAATGGTGCCAAGGATTTGTCCAGTACCGTTCAATTTTATTGAAAACTATTGCAGTTTAAACCTTAGATCCAATTGTTTTAAATGTAATACGCTTTCGAACTGAGGACTAATCTTGAATGTATCATTTCCATGGCAGCCTTATGACAAATTTTAAAGTATAAGCTACTTGTTCACATCAAGACCGCATATAGACGTACATTTCTTAAGCGTTTCGAGTGGTCTAGGTCCCTTAAATATAAGAGCTGACATCACTATGGGTCATTGGGCTTGGCCAAGCGGCCAATGAGCATTATCGCTCCAGCCAGCTGAACTTCACCTAACCGAAGAGATTCGCAGAACATTTTTCGCAAACTGTTGTAATAATATTTGAGGTAAAAAAAGGCTAATTAGGATTTCGAGAACAAGGTATTTATTCAGACAAACTGTTGCATCGAAGCTTTTTCTTTTGAAATACTGACTGGAATCATACACTTCTTCGTTTCGTCGGACCCGACCTACCCGACCACGGCTTACCTGCCTCCGTCCAGAGGAGCTTCTGTGCTTGTTGGGTCTTACTCTGTTCCTTCACTTGCCAGGGTGTCCACCATCTTGTAGCGTTCAATGCTCCGGTGGGTGGGAACTTAGTAGATATGCACCGTTTTGTACAATTCAGTAAATTTTTTCAGCAGATGATGCAAATATTTGATCACCGCTTGGCCGTCCATAATTATATTAAAGCGTCGTGGGTGGTAGTCCAAAAGCATCTTAAGCTGCCTCTTTTAAGGCGAATTATAATTTGATTACATAAGTGAAGTCAAATATTTGCTTCAGAAACTACAAATCCAGACAATTAATAATTAAGCGGAAGATAGTACAGAGAGATAAAAACACAACATAAGTAAAAGAAAACCCATCATTTTGAATCTTTGTTCTAGAAAAGGTATCTCAAGATATTCGTTCAAAGCAAACCTGATCGACTTATAGCCTACCCAGTGGTGCCTTGCTACTTGGTATATGTGGTGCTGACACCCCCAAGAAGAGACTCATTGACAAAGAGCGTGCACACTTCATACACTTTCTCTGCACTCTCTGGCGCTCCCGCAGAGTGCAATTCAGAGTGGTTGGTGGTTGCTGCCGTGAGCTCGAGCTCATCCGAGCCTTGGCCGAGCGGGGCGCATGCGCAGCTCGTCATTTCCGTTTGTTATCTCGTGCGTGGCGAACGTTTCGCAAGTCAGCTTCTAAAAGAACATTTTTGGCCATAAGCTAACTGAAAGATATATTTTTTTCGCACATTTGTTTTTTGTTTAATTGTTTTTTTTTTGTACTCATTATCTGCTATTTTGGAAGTGTTGAGTGCCTTAGATTGTGAACATTTCTTGCTTAGCTGCGGAAGCAGGCGGACCGCAAGATTAAGAACGAGTTATAAACAGATCAGCCATAAGTTGGTCGTTCGACGACTTTGACTACCTCTTAAGGTTTAAGCAGCAAGTAAGTAGAGTGAATAAATAATAAATATAAAATGTATGTATAAGTGCTTGCCAGCAGCCGCAGTAACAGTTGTGCTGCTTAAATGCCAGTATCTGTTTCTGCATCGGTATCTGTATCCGTATCTAGATCAGTGAGCTGTTGCATGCTTGCTATGGACCCATATCACACCTGGCACACACACACAGACACACTCACGTGCCTCTCTATGCAATTATGCTCGCACCCATCTATAGTTGGGTATGGGTATATGTGTGTGTGTGTGTGTGTGTGTGTTCTAGCTCTAATTTTAATTTAGCTGAGAAAACGAAAAAGACGCTACCCCAGACTCAAGACCCACAAAATAAAAAGGGTGGTGCCTTGCTCTAATATATTTAATTTGTTGCTGTTTTTTTTTTCGTTTGCTTGCTCGGCCTGCTACCCTGCGCTGCTAATCCTTGGGCACAAGTCACACACAAACACACACACATACTACTGTATACGCACAGCATCTTAGAGCCAAGTAAAATATTTTTTTTCCTCGCCTCATCTCGTTGCGGCTCGTTGCATTTCTGCTTGTCTAATTTTTTTTCTTTTTTGGGGTGACGTTTATGGATTACACGAAAACCCATTTGGCTGTGTATTTATGTGCGCATGTATGTGTGTGTGTGCACACCTAGATACATGGGTTTGTCGTGCCTGGTAACAGCTCCCGACTTTCATCTTCCGCGCCTGCGCGCCTTTCGCTTTTCCTTGACGGCTTTGGGTTTTTGGCATTCCTGCCTGCCTTCCCTGCCCTGCTATTTTTTTTTTTTTTTGCAAAATGGCATCATTATGCTGGGGCGTAATTGTTGCATGCACACACACATACGCACATGTAGCATATATAGAGATACACACACACATGTAGAGCAAGTAAGACAAACAGGGAGGCAGGCCAAGGACTCGCTCAATTTAATGGTTTGCGGCCGCATCTATAGCGCGCCAAATAATGGCAGAGATCTGTTATAAATTAGCATAAATTTAATTTCATTCGAACGACAGGCAGACGGAAAGACAGACAGCAACAGCAGGAGCACCAAGAGCAGCAGCAAGGAACCTAAAAAGCAAATCCAAGGCATACATGTACATAAATTCCTTAATGCCCATGGCCATCCATATTGCTCTCCCTCGTTTAGGAAAGAACCTGAAACCCTGAATTGCTCGCAGACGTGAAAAACGAGTTTGCAGAAAACAATTTGCAAATTTCTTTGTCGTTTTTTTATTCTCTACTCTTAGTGCTGCTCCTCTTGTTGCTGCTATTGCTTTGGATTTGGCATTAAACAAAACCAGTAAGCAGTAGTTGGATGGCCAAAGAATGGCAGCTGCTGCTCATTTGGCCTGGACAACCAGGACATAGCATGTTTTAATTATCCTGCATAATTATTCATTAAATTATCTGTTCTCCTCCATCGCAATTTATAGTTGAAATACGTAGAATGGCCGACTTTCGTATATCCTTTACTCGCTTCCTCTTCCACACTTCCCCAACATTCTTGGACAACTAACTACAGTTTTCAATATTAATATTAAATATTAATTTTTTACATTATACTACAAAGTTGCTGCAACAAACTTGCTGCAGTTAGCAGAATTCAGGGTCAAAGAGCGATTTGAAAAGCGCCAGTATTGAAAAAGTAAAAGGCACTTAACTTTGTGTTACCAACCAGAATATAGGAATTTAATTGATTGAATGCTGATTGATACCTTACCAGCATAATAAAGCTGTCGTGTAACTCTTTTTTATCCTCGGGCAATTTGATTTCCATAAATCTTTAGAACCTAGACAACCATAATCAACTTCTAATGAATAACAAACATGGCTAAGGTATCTTATTTTATCGATTGCACTAAGATTTCCATCTTTTATTTATCGTTTCTATGGCAGCTACTGTACTCGTATATATAATAATGAGGCTATATGTTTTAGATAAACCGAAAATGCGAATAGATAAGACAAGAAGTCTACGCATCAAGTTCCTAGCTGTTAAGACCTAAAAGTTCATGGTGTTCATATTAACGGACAGGCTTGAGCATTTTAGCTCTATATCTGTTATTTGTGGGCTTCCATTTTTAGTTGCTTTAAACACATTTTGGCTTTAAAACAAGCAGGAAAACCTATGTGTTAGCCCTAAAAGTATGCTGCTCGTAATTTCAATTTGGAAGATTACCTAAATTTATATATATATATATATATTTTTTATAAATGTAAAACTTTAATTATACTGTTCGATTACCTAAAGAAACAGAAAAAGCATCCCTATTCTGACATCTGTTTTGGTATTCAATAAAAATAAATCTCCATAATAAATCCTACTTGTCAAACAAATCCAAGTTTTGCTTGTCTAATGATGACACCTTTTTATTATGATAATCTATGGCATAATATAGTTAGAGTTAATTAAAATGCATCTTAAAATACACCAACACCTTTTTGACATAATAATAAATATTACTTGTAAATGAATAAAAGGCTCTATGATTTAGAGTTTGTCTTGGATTCGCGTATTTCCATCCCCTTTATTTTGCCTTAATAAAGCAAAGCGCAGGGAATACTATGAAGAGTGGATAACGCTTTTAATGCCAGAGTGCTTGTGTTAAGTCCATTAGTAAACGTTAAGTGCAAGTGGAGGAGTAATTCTTTTAATTTATTCTTTTCTTATTTGATTATTTATATATTTATTTGATATACTATTTTCTTTTCAACAGCACTTAGTGACCCAGGCCATGCCCACAATGACACAACATGCTCTGGATCGTCGTCTACATCGTCACTCCAATGATGAGCCGCATGTTGAGGGTCGGATAGGACGACGCTCCCTGACAGTCCCCTATGGGAGTGGGGAGGCCAATAAGGAGAACTTTGGGGTGCACTTTATGAGCAGCCCGTTCGGCAACAGCAGCCTCATTGCTCTGCAGGATCTGAGCAATGTGCATGGCAAGAGTCCGCAGCGTCGCAGCTTCAGTGAGGGGAGCGGACCTCGTCAGGCGACGCCGCAGCGTGCCGCCGGAACACCACTGATGGCGTTGCGTTGCCTGCCGGCGCGAACTGTCGCCGCTTTAGAGGACTCGCAGCTGTCGTCATCCCGCATGGGCGACACAACGCTGGATCGCATGCTGGATGCCATTATAGAGTCAGCACGCAAGGAGGTGCGCTGTAAGTTTGTCACAGCACCAGTGTCAACGGTGACAACGACGGCCACGGCCACGCTCACGCCCACCACTACGGTTGATGGGGATTGGAGTGAGAGCAGTGTGCATGAGATGGAGGTGCGCACACCCACGCATTTGAAGCGACAACGTGTGGTGCGTCGCAAGAACCAGCACAAGTCCGTGCAGCTGAAGGCAAACCCCAGAAATACGCCCATGCAGGAGCCGTCACTGCATAGTACGAAGCGTTGTTTGAGCTTCTCCTCCAGCGGCACCTCAAGCGATCTGGAGGATGAGTTCAACGTGGGTGGGGACGATAAACGCGGCTCCATGGCATCGGTGAGCAGTGGCGGCAGCAGTAGCGCTGGCGTCAGCATTGCTAGCAGCGAGGGCAGTGGAAACAGAGGAGGTGGCGCTGGTGCCACACGCGGTAGCCTCGACTTGGCCACAACCTACAATGCACAACAGCAGCAATTAAATGTACATGGTGAGTTCCAGCAACCCACTCCCCAACCATTTCGAGTTGTGCCCATTACCATTAGTTAGTGTCGTTCCTCTACTATAGAGAATTTAAAGGCGTGACTTTTTTCCAAACTAAAGAGAGTGCATCTTTATAAGGCTAATTGCCAACACTAGCTAAGTTAAATATGTTCTGTTTTAAAACTCAGAAGTCATTAAGTAGTATTCGTATGGCACGACATATGAGTACCCTTGGGGTCACCAAATCATTAGTGTAGAATTAATCATTTCGAGAGTGAAGTTTCTACTTATATATTAACAATATATTTTTGCATATTTGTTTAACCTTTGCAGTTATACGCTGTCGGGAACTGCAGCGAGCTCACGGATCGGGCGCCATTAATGCTTACGTCAAAGTGGCGCTATCGGGCGGTACGCACAGCAGCAGAGGCTTTCAGCGCACCGCCGTGCATCGGCATTCGAGTCGTCCGTACTTCGATCAGCGCTTCTGCTTTAATGTACAGCCACATGTGGCTCAGGCTGCGACGGTTCAACTGCAACTGGCTGTCTGGCATCGGGATCGCCATTTAAAGTGAGTATGAGTAAGGTCAAATAATGTAACAAGAACAACTTCCTTCATTCCACATCCTTCAAACATGCAACCATTTTAGTTACAGACAAGTCTCGCTAAATACTTACACTTGTCGGCAATGAAAAATAAGAAAAACCGCTTTGCTTAAGGAATTTAAACTTCAAAATTTCTTGTTTATGTTTCCATTTTATTATTACGGGTTGGAATTTTTAGTGTTGTTTGAAAGAAACGCTCTTTAGTAGGTCGTTTGAGTTCAAAATGCGCGAAAACTTTTAACTGTCTTGACAAGTTTTCAGTAAAAAAGTTTTTTGAAATTTATTATTTAATTTGTTAAAATGACTTTCAAATCATTTTCTTTCCGAAAGAACTTTATATATAAATTTAAAGCTCATTTTGGATTGCAAATTATTTTTCAGTTGTGAGAGAAAAGATAAAAAACAGCCATTAAACCTTAAAAACTAGCACATAATTCCCCCTTATTAGATAATTATTTGTATTTTTTTAATGCATGCAGCAGGTTGTCAAATTAGCCCTTAAGATTGACGAATACCAGAATAATGTCAATTTCCAGTCTCACAACATTTTGGCAAGTTGCTTTCAAAGCAATTTCAACTGTAAAGCATGTTGTGGCTCGTCACTCTGGCTGTAGCTGTCGCTCGTCTATCTGTCCGCCATCATCTACCCATCAGGGACATCATGCCCAGAAGGCCCGTCCACACGTGTCATTCACCCCCAATTGAGAGAGCTCTGGGGCGGCAGGCAAAAGGCGTCTTATTAATTGTTTCATTTTCCTGTAGCATACTTTTCTGCTGTTGCTCCTGTTCCTGCACCCATCAGTTGCACTTCCTTTAAAGGACGGCATGGCATGGCAGGGCTCGGCATAAACAAACGCTTGAGTGTGCGCCTGCCAGCTTGTCAAGGGCTTCCACACACACACACACATACGCTCGTATATAGTCTGTCCGTACTGTCGCATTCTTTCCAAGCTTTGGCTTTCAATAAAGCGCTTCCAGCGCATGCGCATGCATCGAAAGCTTGGCATAAAGCTTTTGGCACATGTTGGTTTAGCTGGCTAAGCTGCTGTTGCTGTCGCTTCCAGAACGGCTGTGATGTTTCAAAGTCCAGGCAATGGAAGAAAGCAGTTTGAAAATTTCTGGGCAAGAATTTTGTGCTTGCTGGCGGCTCAGTTCGAGTGTTTAGCTCGCGCGAAGCAAATCGGCTGGCAACGCTGCGCGACGACGACAAGCAGCAGCAGCAGCAGGACGAAGAACACGACAACGAAAACGTGAAAGACGCGACAGCGACGGCGACAGCGACGGAAACAGCGACGGAAACTGCGACGGAGACGGCAACGGCAACAGCAGCGGTAGAGACGACGACGCCACGTACGTGTTGAGAAATTTGCTTTGCTGTTTAGCGTGTGCGGAAGTAGCAAACAATGCGAAAAGTGTGTGTGTGTCTGTGTGTTTGTGTGCAGAAGCGCCGCAGGCTGTAAAATTGTTTTAATTGTATACATACATACGTACTCGTATATTTCGAAGTGTGCGTGTTCGTTTCCTGTGCAAACTTTCAGCTGCGGTCAAAAGTGCGAGCGGCCAAAAGTATGCAATAAAAAATTATATAATTTCAAGTGCTTATCTCACCCAATTTATTTTTTAAACATTTTTTGTTTAGCAAATTGAAGAAATGGCCACATGTGTGGCTAGATATATATATATATATATATATATATATATATATATATATATATATATATATATATATATATATATATATAAATGTGTGTGTGTGTGTGTATGTGTAATTTGAAATTGAGAGGCTGCCAATGGCTCTTGTAACTGTGTCTGTATGTGTGACTGTGAGTGTGGGAGCGTGCGTGTAAATGTACTTTGCAGCACGCTTTCAACGATTCAGTTTTGTTTTTGGCATTGCTTCACATGCTAAAGTTAATTAAAATTCAAGGACAGTCAGTGAGCAACTTTGTTGGCCAAAAAAATGAAATGAAATGAACAAAAAATGAGCAAATTCATTGCAAACTGACACGGCTTTTATGTCAAATCGATAGGCAGACTGGCAGGCGGGGAGGTCGCCACAAAAACCAAGAACATGACTACACTACATACTTGCTCGCTTCATTATGCAATAAGTCCAAACACACACTCACACACACACATACGCACATAAATATATAGAGCACTCCCAGGTTGGCACACAAATCTGCTGAGCTATGTATGTGCAATTAAAAAAAATCTATGACAGCAACAACAAAAACGCTCATTTAAAGTGATTGAAATACTGACGCTAATTGAGTAGGCAACTAACTAAAAGCACACTTGGGAATCTCTTGATGTTGGCGGCAATTTGCGTAAAATATCAAACTCTCTCTCACACATGCACACACACACAAACACACACACACACACACTTAGGCACATACTTGTCAGCCATTTGTTATGCATGCATAATAAAAACATTTAAAATAGTGGCGTGCAGAGCGAGGCAGGCAGGCAGGCAGGCAGACATTTTAAGTAAATTTTCAGGGCTTGAATTATTTATTGCCTACTTTTGGGGGCAACAAATTTTGCGCGCTACAGAAAACGGCGAGGTAAAAGGCAACATAAAGAAGCACTCACACGCACACATACACACACACACGCTCATGTAAGTTGCAACTGCTAGAGCTTACAAGTAACGACCAACTACATATTTTCAATGCAATGTATGTGTGTGTGTTTGTTGGTTTGTTTGTGAGAAGGAAGCACTTCCAAATACACCGCAGCTTGTTACATTTTTAATGCGATGCCCCCATTTCGTGGGCGTGCACACGCCCCAAGCTGCACACTGGTGCCCCTGTCAGACAATTGCGATTGCAATCGCAAGAAGCAACAACGCAACAACAACAAAATAGTGGAAATACTAAAAAATATAGAACACTTTGACGTTGGTGCAGCACAAAAATCAATAAAACTGACCCAAATACGCGCGCAAAACTTCGCAGCTGGCCAACAACAGTGACCACCACTAGCTTTAAAAAAAAGCGCTCGAAATGTAGAAGAGGGGGAAGAGGAAGAAGCCTCAAGCGCCCACAACTACAAATTGCTATCCAAAGCGCATTTCCGGGAGCCAAATGCCATGCCAGCTTAGACGTGCTAATTGATTTATGTCACGTACCTATGAACGTATATTTCTGAATGCGTGTGCGGCCGTAGTGGTGAGTGGAGAGGGATGGTGGGACGGCGGGACGGTGGAGCGTTGTGGGTGGGGGTGCAGTCTCTATAGTCGTATGGTCGTATATAAATAGTAAACAAAATGCCATTGCAACGTGACGCAAAAGACAAAAAACGATTAGAATCATGCCACAAACAAAAGCGAACGAAATAATGGCGTGAGCAAAGTGAACTGGAACTGGGATTGGGTCTAAATTTGGGCGGGGACGGGATCGGGGACGGAGACTGCACAGCAAACAGCTGAGCAGAGCCTTGAATAGATTACAGACAATGGCTGCCCCACTTGGCCTTTAATGCCGGAAACGCTCACAAATTAGAAGCGTGCAATTCTCGGATATAGCTTCATTTCCGGCTAGAACCGTATTTCATTCTTTTCTTTGTATATATCCAAGGGCTGTTTTTGTGCCAAAACAATGTAAGCGTCCAGGGCGCAATTAAAATGTGAACAGCATTGAAATAGTTCGGATAATTGAGAGACTTAGCAACATAAACAAAGCATTCTATTTGCGAAAGCATTGGCATTTTGGAGTGGGGAAACTTTTGAAATGTAAAAATATGATAATGAAACATTCTACAATTTCCAAAAGTCTTCAAGCTCTTAGCCAACCCAAATATATACAATTTTGTTAAAGTTTTGAGCAAAATGAAACTTGAAATGAGTCACCTTTTGGAAATTATTGTATTAAATTTGATTATACAGTTTGGAGCAGCGAGTCATGTTTTGATTATCCCTACTCTAAAGATAATTATAATTGTTTTAGTTTGTATAGGTTTCAAATCATTGATGAGGGGAATAAATATTGTAATAAAGGAATTTATTTATATACATAATACAAAATTATACCAACTTGTAAGTGATGCAGAAGAAGGATTTCCTTAAACCAAAATCAGCTACAGATCTTCTCTTTCCTTTAGCTGGACCTTTTTTCGATCTGAATATATGAAGGGTGGGAATATAACTTATTCAAAATCTACGAGTAAAATAAAGCTAAAATGCCTACGCACATGGTTTGGCTTGGTTCAGTTCTTATACATATTATTCGAAATAAGAAGATGACTTGGTCTGGCCATTCCCAGTACTTTCTCAGTGAAATGAAATTGTCTTCGAAAAAGTCTAAGTGACTTTTGTCTTTTATAAGATGCTCAAGGCACATGAACTGTTTTAATAATTGTACTTATAGGACAGATCTTTAATAAAGCAACAATTTAAAATTATAATAATAATTATTATTTTTTGTACAATATCTGCTGAAAATTAAATCAAATGGCAAAAGTTGAATGCTCACCAAGATAGCGGATGAAGTTTTTTTTTTTTGGTTTTTCCTTTTATTTGTAATTTATTTGGTGCTCCTACAACATACAAATGTGGCTGTTATATACATATATATAATCTATGTACAATTACATACTAATTGCCTTTTTGTTTCGATTCTTGCAGACGCAGTGAGTTCCTGGGCTGCAGCACCTTACCATTGAGCGCCTTATTGCAGCAGAACCATAGCGGTTCCTTTAAATTGCAGTCGCAGGCATGCCTGAATAATTGTCGCAGCCATCAAGCCGAACAGCAACAAGCGCCAAAAGAAACAGAAACAGAAACACGAACGGAAATCGAAATAGCAACACAAACACAAAGTCAACTAAAAGCAACAACAGCATCACCGTCCAGTCCGCAGGAGAGGGAGGAGGAGCAGGAAGTTTCTCAGCCGAGAAGTTCCCAGAATCGTCCCACAACTGTTAACAGCTCCTTGGCAACGGTGGCCATTATTTCCAATATGGCGACAACGGCGGCTCAACAGAAAACTAATGCCATTGTCTCCGTCTCTGCTGCAGTCAACGATGACGTCATTAGCATTGATACCATGGCTGGTGCAGGGAACGGGGATGAGCAACAGCAGCCAATGGTGCTGAGCAAGAAGGCGTTACATCAACGCGATGCCGACGAGAATTTATTCTTGCGTTTCCTCGAACTTGACCCCCCAGCTGATGGAAATGCGAACACAAGTGGGGGCGCCACAGCATCGAATGAGAAAGGAGCTGGAAGTGGCAACAATGTGAGCAGCGCCAATGCAGCAAACGCCAATCACATGAACGGCAGCAGTGGAGGCAGCGGAAGGCGTTGCTCAACCGTCGCTGGAGTACGGCAGAGTGGCCGGACACCGTTTACGATGACGAAGCGATTGACGCGGACGGAGGAGCGCGGCTTTGGCTTCTCCATTGTGTGGACACATCCACCGCGAGTGGAGAAAGTGGAGGCGGGCTTGTCTGCCGATCGCTGTGGCATATTGCCCGGCGACTATGTTATCTTTGTGGACAAACACAATGTGGTCACAATGCCCGAGGCTGATGTTCTGAATTTGATACGATCGCAGGGCTCGACCTTGACGTTGGAGATTTTCAGAAGGTCAGGCGCGGGTGCCAGCACGGCCACGGCCACAATAACGGGATCCGCATCGTTGGCAAGCAGCCAACAGCAGCAACACCACCAGCCCCAACAGCACACTCAGCGACCGACGCTGATTGCTGGCAGCAGTGAGGAGCACACAATGGCCACCAACACGACGCTCATGATGACGTCAACGACGGCACCGACAGTCCCAGCAACGCCTCTGCAACGTACCGGCAGCAACAGCGCAGCTCGTATACTGGGGAATAACATGTCCCGACCGGCTACCGCCTGCTCCGGCACCACCTCGTCCATTGAGGCCGCCAAACGGCGGCTCCACCTCCCGCAGGTCACGTTCAGCAAGGAGGTAGGCAAGGGCGTCTTTGTCTAACTGCCCCTCCCCCATTCCATGCGTTGCCAGTTCATTATTGCGCCCCCATCTCTATTATTACTTTTTGGTCGTCCCCTCTTGTCGTTCTTGTGTAAATATATATTTTTTTTATTGCCAACCCATGTATTGTTAAGTTTTAAAGTTAATGTTTTGTCACGCTACTTATTATTATTATTATCCGAAAAGCATATTATTTTTATTTATAAATATATAAATTATATATTTTTTTTGCCATCGCTACCCGCTTCCCCCGCTTGACAATAAATTTCTTCAGTTAATTTACATTGAGTTTGTTTTGTTTACATTTATGGAACATGCTTGAAGGAAGAAAGAGTGAGAAAGTGAGAAAGAGCGTGGAAAAACTGATCTTCAAGAAAATTAAGAACATCACATACATGTATTACATGGAAGGTAACCAGTCACTGCATTAATACTTATATTTATAACATACATACTTGTTTATCGCAAATCTGTTATAAGCTTGATCTGCATAATTATTTTAGAAACACCTTCAACAAATTAGGTGTTTGTGGCATTTAGGGTTCATGAAATCGAGCAACTCATACATGCAAACAGAAGAACAGAAAGTTCTCGCACTTTCCCATCCACGCTCTCTCTCGCTCTCTCTTGCTCTCTGATCGAACACATTATTAATCAGCTAATTCCGGTTCACTTACTTGCTTCACACTTCTGTATTTGCTCGATGCGACAGTCCATTGTGCCCATTACGGATAATCGTCGACGCTTTTTGCTGCAGCTTATCAGTCGTGAGCAGAACTTCACCGTCGCTCTACACTTTGGTATCCAGCGCTTTGTGCAGCCGCTGCAAGAGCGCAAAGATCTCATTTCGCCAAACGATCATCGCACGCTGTTCCAAAACATTGACGAGCTGTTGCGCATTTCGGAGGATGTGCTGGAGCAGCTGTGTAGTAATGAACAGGATCAGGAGCCGCATATGAACTTCGCCTCACGCGTTTATCTGTCTAAGACGACGGCGATTTGTGCCGCCTACAAGAAATACTGTAATGGCATCAAGCGTGCCGATTGCGTGCTGGTTAATAAGTCACGGCAGACGGGTTCGGAGTTTGTGGCCTTCATTACAGAGCCGGCGGTGCCGCGCAAGCGACCCGATCTCACAATGTTTATACATCGACCGTTGCAGCATTTTCGTGAGATCTTAAAGCTGATGCAGCTGTTGGCAAGCAACTGTCACGTGGATACGGAGGAGCATAAGAATTTTACTACTGTGATTGGTGAGCTGCAGGCTGCGTATCGTGAGATCACGGTCAGCAGTGGGTTGATGGAGCCGCTGGGTGAGGGAAGGCCATTGTTGACCTTGCAGGATCTAGAATCACGCATGGTCTTCACGAAGTGCAAGCCCTTTACGTTGGCCGTGCAGGGACGTCAGTGGATTTTTGGTGGCGACTTATCACGCGTCGAAGGTCGGTCCATAAAGCCCTACTGGACGTTGCTTTTTAGCGACATCATTGTCTTTGCCAAGGTTAGTCGTGATCGTGTCCTGTTCATCACTGAGGAACCCATACCCATTGCCAATGTGGTGGACTCCTGCTTTCATATGCGCAAGAAAAGTGAGTTAATTATTTTGAAAAAGTCTATCTATGCATCTATCCAATGTGTTCATCTTACAGCTACCGAATTCCGTTTGACGGTGGATCCTAACGGCCGTCTGGCCGAAAGTCCGACGGGCTATTGCGCGCCGGACTTGACGCGGACACCCAAACGAGGCGCCCGCCGTAAAAGTCTTATCCTGCGTGCCCCATCACTGGAACTTAAGGCCGTTTGGCAAAATCTGCTACAACGTCAAATGTAATATTTTTATTTTCATACTCGTATAGCTGTTGCCACTCATTTGTAGGGTTCGGGTCTGGGACAGTAGTTTAATTTATGAGCTAGACTGTAATTGGATTGTGAAGTTCTTTATTATATAGAAGCTCTCAAAAAATCAATTGTCAACGTAGACTTAGGAATAGGAGGATCTGTATTACTATAAAACGCAAAATAATAGAACAGCTATGTATGAAAAAGACCATGGAGAATAGGTCGGGATGAAAAATAGCCATTTATGTAACTTTCAAATATTTACAAAGCGGATATGTCGGTATAAACGATATTACGCGATGGTTCGTCCGGTCTTTATCATTGATTCGTTTTGACTACCAATCCTTATTCTCAGCATACAATTAAACATTTCCCAAAACTCGCTAAGGGGAGCATAGAATAGAATTTAAAATGGGTTCAATATTCAGTTGCTATTATAAAAATAGGGAGTGGCAACCATAACTACGTAATCGTGACCTAATTTGAAAAAACTTTCTCTTGCAGCTTTCTTGTGAATGCAGCCCTGGGCTCCACACCGCTATCCAGCCCGTTGGACTCGCCCGACGTACTGAACACTCTAGTGCCTCTTAGCGACATCGGCCTCACCTCGGCCTCCATGGGATCTAAGCTCCCCTCGCTGGACAGCATCAATTTGAAGCAACAGAAACAGCAGGTGCGTCTCTTTCGCAGCAAGCGCTTAGATAGCTCCGATTCGTATGAGAATCTGCAAAGGTTGGCCAGCGCCCTGGTGCCCCGAGGTGCCGGTGGCGGCAGCAACAGTGCTGTCAGTGGTGTTGGTGGTAGTGGTGGCGGCCACACTCATTGTGCCAGCACACAGACTGCACAGATCTCCTGCGCCTCGCTGCCCTCACGCACCACGTCGCCGGCCCGCAAGGCGATTGGTCATAGTCATGATTGCTGCAGTGGCGGTGGTTCGGTGCCCAATGGCGTGGGTGGGGGTGTGGGTGTGTGCGAGAGCGTCACTTCGTTGCGTTCGATGCCCCAGCGGCGATCGGCGCTCGAGTCGCGTCCACTAACGGCGGCGCGTAGCTACAATACCACTAGCTCCTGCCTCAGCTTCAGCGGTAGCAGTAGCCTGACGGCACACACACACACTCAGATGTCGGCACATGGGTCCGCCGATCATTTGCCGGGCTCGTCGTGCAAGTGCCTGACAGCCATACCTGAAGCGAGCAGCGAGCAGCAGGCAGCGACGGTGATTCAGTCGAAACCCCCGCCACCACCGCCGCCCACACGTCATGCGCAAAAGCTGCTCGAATTCAGTCTCAGTTCGGTGGGTCGATCCTTTATTGACGAAGCCTCCAATGTGGTTCAGCATGTATCGCTGACGACCCCTGAGACCCCCACACCCAACATCTCGCCCAGCTCGCAGGTTTGCAATTCGGACGCCTTCTCCAATGACTTTGTGCCGCCGGCGTCGACGAGCTGTCAGATTGCCAACATACCCTTAGCCGAATTCGGTGGGTCATGGGATCTGCTTGAGCTGGACTTACAGCTCCACGAAGTCAATTTAGATACGTGTTATGATACGGATGTCGAGGAGTGCATTTTTATGGGGGATACGATCACTGCGGTGACAGTGGCCAATAATGATGGGGGTGATGGGGACGAGGACAGTGACGACGACAGCATTGTGGTTGACGATCCATTTGGCATGTTGCCCACAAAGCCAACGCCTCCGGACTCCTTGGATCTGTGATTTGACTTTTGGCTCCAGCCTGATACCGAAACCGATACGGAATCTGAGCCGGATACTGTGACAGCCAAGCCTCAGTCGCGCCGCGCCCATTAAAACACAATCTATCTAAAAACTATCTTTGAGCTTAGAAATGAACAACTAACCAACCAACCTAACCCCCTAAACCACCTCTTGCCATACAAAATGCAAGCAGACAGTACCCAAAACTGTTGGTCGTTGCCTCACGCTCAGGGCATGAAGCTACCTCGGTGCATGGAAATGATGTGCTTTGCCTTTGTTTTTGCCTGGCTCTGCTCCCACGTCAATGATCACTCTTCTCTCTCTTTCTCTCTCTCACACACTCTCTGTCTCTCTCAATCTCTCGCTCTGTTGCTCTCTATTCATTTGTTAGACTGCGCTCTTTGGTAGATTTGCTTTGCGCACAAACAGACGCACCCACACACTCAGTTAGCTAGCTGGGTCCGCTCCCACTCCCACTCTCACTCCCAACCCAAACTTATCTAAGTAGTACACATATAGCACCATAGCATACTAAAGCGTGTGATCTATCTAATGGATGCCTTATGGGGGGAAACTGAAAACTGTAACTGAAAATAAAAAGCGTCTTTGTACTTGTACTCGTCCTATCGAGGCGTATTAACTATTCAATTGGTTCAATACGCACCTCTCGGGGTCTGATTCTGGAATGCCATCATTGGAAGGGAATTAAGTAAATGGTTTTAGAGTAGGTATTATAGTTCAAAACATATTTGTATGATAAACCTTTGCAAAATGGATAATCAGCAATAGCTTGTGTTTCGTATTCGATTTACAAACTCATAGATACCTACCTATATTATTATATTTGTACATTAATATTGGAGCACTTCAACACTGCAACATTCATTCAATAGTCAATTTAGTATTTAATTATTGTATGCCCTGTATTCAGAGCATTCATATACCTCTATGAATATAGACGATTGATTATTTTAAATCAAATTCATTTCATACTCGTATACATGACACGCATATATTCCATTCCAAGTATTTGCTCAAAATTGGAATGATTCCATATATGTAGTTCGATAGTTTGTATTTTTTGGCTAGAACCGGAGCGATGACTCATGATTCGATGCATCTATACACTAGTGAGTGCATTCACGTGCTCATAAAATCAAAAATTGATTCACTGCATTGATGCGGTGCTTTTATATAATGTTCATATTAAGAACCGATCACTCGATATAAATATGTGTGTACATATATATATATATATATATATGCACATATAGATATTGATATTGATAGATAGAATAGATAAGTGCATATACATATATGTGTGTAGTATTGTATGCATATTTACATATGCCGGATGCCAATTGAGTGTAAATATCACTAAATTGAAAATGAAATTGAAATAAGACCGACAGCTGGCCAGACAGCCCGCCAATTATGGTGTTGTATTTAATTTAAAGAGTATTGTTACATATTTATATATATACATACATAGAATATGCCATAGATAGTCAAATATATATAGATATAGAAACAAGAAATGAGTAAATCGTTGATAGTGCACCTGCGTTGAACCATTCGTATGATTCGTCTGATGATCTCATGAATTGCGCAATCCTAACATTTCGATCGATCAACTCATGTGCACGATCGGCTAGAATTCTGTTTATACTACATATGTAGTACTATAGTACATATATACATAGATATGTATATGCTCGTGTATTACTTACCCATTCAATTGAAACATTTTTGCCAATCCAAAATATGCTTCCATTTTGTAGCCAAGCGCGTCAACTATTGTTGTTGTTGTTATTGATTATTATTATTATTATTATTATTATGATTATTATTGTTGTTATAATGCCCAGCCCCACTACTAGTATTTACCCTTTTACCTATAAGTTTACCAAATTAGCCATACATTTGTATAAATATGTATATTTCATTAAAGTTTTGGTTCAATTATAGTCATCGGGCTGCGATTCAAAATGTTGTAGGCTCTAATTAAATGCCATTGTTAAATTATATCTATTGTACATACATTCCCCCTTACCCTCACCTAATTACAAACACACACCAACATACTACATAGTACATACATCTAAGTATGTATGTATATCTGTAATTGTAATAAATTTTGCTCAGAGCCACTCTTTATGTCTGCAATGCTGTGCAAAGGCAGCCAAAATCGATCAAAAAAACCAAACAAACTAAAAAAACAAAATATAAAACCCAAAACTAAATTATACTACTTATATTGTGAATGTTGTAAAATTTGTTACGCAATATTTGAACTTTGCAATTTTTATGTTTTTGTATAAGTAGAGGAAACGAAACCAAGTGGCGTCTTTGTAGAGCCGCGATTGTCATGGCGGCGCAAAATGGTCGCCACTTTTGAACACAAACACACAGCCACACACACACACACCTGCAAACTAACATACACACAGACACACTCACATACTTTACACAGTGCATATGTATGAGACGGAGATGTCGATGTTAATTATTTATGACAGCACTTTGTTGCCTTCTAAAATAAAAAAATCCTAGCTGAATAATTGACAGACCGCACGAATAAACGGCCAGAAAGGGCGGACGCAGATTGCCAGAACAGAGAGAATTTCAAGCATCCTACATATGTTAGTCAGCCATTTCCTTGGGTTAACTTTAAACTATCGATAATGAGGAATTAGTGTTCAAATCGTACCCAAGAGCAAAATTTTTTTTAGCCGGCACCTAAATAATGACAATTAAGATTGTGTGGCAGCAGTTGCATCTGGAAAAAGTAGTCAACTTAATAGCTCAATGAAGAATTTAGCAACTATAAACTCTTTACAGGCCGATTTAGTAGTATTCCAAATTATATTTCAGTTGAGCAAACGATAAGCTGTTTTAGTGTTTTCAACTTCACGAAAAACTAAACATGCTCGTAAATATATTCGGAAATGTAAATTGTTAACTTTTTAGTTGGGACTGACTTCAATTTAGTTTAAAGGGCTAAAGTTTAGTTTAAAAAAAATATAATTGTAGCAATTCTACTATGTATTTGTTTCCATAATGGCTCTCTAAAAACACTCTAAAAATTACACACAAATGATCAAACATCAATCTCGATTGGACTTGATTTGAAAGCCTTCAAGCAGATTTTGTACCTTAACTTCAGAGCGTCATGTATAAGAATATAATCGACTCCAGAACTTCATTCTTAATGGCATTGCATTCCCAGTTGATATGTTTCCAGTTATCCATTTGCTTGTCAAGCAATTACAAAAGCATTTACCAAATACTTACCGTACTGTACGCTGTATTGAAAATACTGGTAGCAGAGAATATTTGAATGCACAGATTGTGGATATTGCAGTTGATATATTTTCTCTTAAAGTGATATTTGATATGCCTCTTAAGCCTTTCCCTAGCTATGCCCTACAACTACATCTGTTCTGTCATTGTGTGACGTCATTTTGTGTTGGCCAAAGAATGTGCAGCGTCAGTTTTTAGTGATCAATTCACTATATACATATATAGATGCACTCATACACACATACACGTACACACACAGCCACACGCACATCTATACCTATCTTCTCACATATGTACACAAAATTGTAGTTAGCTAAAAAGTCTTGCCATGACGCATACGCCCAGTGAGCCGAGCCCAGCAAATTGTTTCGTATTGTAGTTTAACATTCTTTTGCATTAAGCTCTATATAAATATATACATATATATATACATATAAATACTTATTATGTATGTTATTACCTGTATAACTGTATTGTACTAACATAAAGACACAGTCATAGACTCAACACACTTACGCCCACACCCACACCCACACACTCACACTTACACGCAGACACCGATACATACTCGTATACAGGCGCGCTATAGTATGTATGTGACTAGGATTTGTTTAACGTTTTTTGCCATTTTGCATAACGAGAGAAACGAGTAATAATAAAAACCAAATGATTCTTTGACTAAAAACGCTTGTGATGTTCTTTTTATTTCATTTTCAAAAAACCAACCAACCAATTAATCATTCAAAAAAATATCTATATATATATATATATATATAGAAAAGACCACCCGAGCACAGTGTACCAAAAAAAAAAGAAAAAAAAGAAGTTAAAACTGCTCTGCAAACACTCAACTCAACTCCCGGATCTTCCACTACAAATTGGTTGATAAAGCAAAACAGTAAAGGAAAAGACAAGACAAGAAAAGAAAAGAAAAGAGAAAAGAGATAAGCGAGTTAAAATTGATAAATTAAAAATTGTGATGGACTCAATTTTAGTTTAAGTTCTATTGCAACTTTTTCCGCTTCCACTTCTATTGCTTATTTGTTGTAACTGTATTTGTCATTGTTGTTGTTGTTATTGTAATTGTTATTATTACTGGTGTTACCAATGTAGTTGTTATAATGTAGCGATCCAAGCGTTTTTAATCAAAGATACTTAATTTTCGCGTTTTTATTATTCTTTCTATTTCTGCTCAAGCGCCACCAAAGCAAAGCAAATCAAAGCAAATCTAAGCAAAGACAAAATAAGAAATTTAAAATATCAAAAGCAAAGTCAAAAACCAAATCAAAGTCAAAGTAAAAGTCAAGAGCAAAGTCAAAGTCAAAGACCAACGCAAAGCAACGCAAAGAACCAAAGAAAAATTGAAAAAGCTGAAAGACAAAAAATGAGCCCATCACAAATTTTAATTTCCAAGCTTCCCAAACTCTTGGGTCAACAACTCTCGATGGCTGTCGTGGACGGGGGTGGGACCTCAGCGGTGGCTTTTCAGGGGGGATGGATGACGGGTTGGGGGGGGGGGGGAGGTGATTGCTTACACCGCTAACTTGCCCAACTATTTTACAGCAGCGTAGTGGCCACGCCCATGCCCAAAATCATGGGCATGCCGTCGAACAGATCGAGCTGCTGATCGATGAGAAATGCCGCATCCTAAACAAGACCGGCACACCCAAGTCCAGTGCCCTGCATCTGGCCAACTGGATGAAGGGTCAGCTGGACAAGCAACAGCAGCAGGCACGCTTGGCGGCCATTGCCCGCTCCCGCGAGAACATAAGCGCCGAGGATGAGCAGCTGATCTTCAATAGCGACAGCGAGCAGGACGAACGAATCACCTATTGGACGCGACAACAGCTGGAGAAGCGTACCAAGGAGCTGAATCTATCCAAGGAGAATGGTTGCTTGTCGGCTAAGCCAAATTTCGGGGGCAAGCGCTTGAGCGGTGTCGAGGAGCTTAGTATGAGCGCCACCTCGGACATTTACTCGGAGGATGGGCCCAGCCAGATCAGTCAGTCGCACAGCACAACGTCGGACAGCCAGGTGAGTGTTGGGGTCTTGAAACTATTGTTTAGATCCCTGTAGCATTTTCTAGCCTGGCTATCACCGGCCACTGCCTTTATATGCTCTATATGCTCCACACAACCACAGATCACAGTACGCTCGAGTCCCATTGTGCTTGACAAGCTCGCTGTGTGCCGGCATTGCCATAAGAATTGCCAACAGAGTGCTGCGGGTGGCGGGGGCAGCGGTGCAGGTGCTCGTACGGGTGCAGGTTCCGGAGGCAATGCGGGCAGTGCGACTTCTGTGCTCGTGTGCAACTCACTCAAGGTGCAGCACAGCCAGTCGTCGCCTAATCGCTGCTGCAAGCTGAATGGCAATGCAACCGGCACAGGCACCGGTACGGGTACTGGCACAGGGAGCGGTAGTCGCGCCGGCAGCGTCACCAGCATCTCGTCCAGCACCATCACTGGCGAACAGTTCAGCGAGCTGTCATCCAAAGTAGTGGCTAGCAGCAGTCGTCGCGAGACCGGCGACACCGAAAGCGATGTGGCTCAACTAATCACCGATGAATTGTCCCAATCAGAGGCGACAGATGACAGTGTCGGAGCCATGCCCAACAGCAGCAGCAGCGCCGGAGACGGACACACCAAACTACGAGTTTTAGAGCAACAGTCAGCGCCAGCGCCAGCGCCAGCAGCGATTGTAACATCATCGATAGCGCCCACATCCACGGCCGCGCCTCTAGCCAACGGTCATTGCTCGGCAGCAGAAAAGCCGCAGCCACCGCCACGAAAAACACGTATCTCGGCACAGCTGATCAAAGAACCACCTCGGGCCAATCAACAGGTAAAGGCCATTGTAACGATCACGGAAACGGCACGCATTATGCGCAGCAACGAGACGCGCGCAGTTACGGGGTCGGGGTCGCCACAACGTAGCCCCAGAAAGACGACGACCACGGCGACGACGACGTCATCAACAACGAGCAGCAGCAATAGCTCTCCCAAGCAAACAGCAGCCAGACACACCGCCTGCCATTGCCGCTGCACTCCAGAGGATTTCACGCACGCCAACATCGCCGCCGACAAAATGGAACAGCAGACCTGCAAGCTCATCGAGTCACCCAAACAAATGGCCGGCAGACGATGTGTGTGCACTGAGAAGCAAACAGAGCGGCAGGAGGATGAGCAGTTGTCCCTCATGCTCATCGGCCTAGCACAATTCGCACCAGCGGCCAAACTATGTGGGGGTCAGCAAACAGTCACATCGCGCCCACCTGCGATCACCCTAAACGATGGCAGCCGCACGCCAACGGATGCAAACTTTGTGCCAACCATTGCGGTGGTGCCACCCACACCGGACGCGGTGCTTACCAAGACCAGCACCCATGTGTGGGACAATAGCTGTGGGGCAGGTACTACGGGCAGTGGCTCAACTCACATAACCACTATGACAACTACCTCCACAACTGTGAAGTTGCCCCGTCAGGCCATCATTGAGAATATACCAGATGACTCGTGCGATGAGTCCCCACTGGAGGAAGAGCCACCTTATAAGCCCATGACAAATGCCTTGCGGCGTTTTGGCACCATGTCCAGTCTAGAGAAGTTGCCCTCCGACGATCGCATGGACGAGGCCGATGAGTTGGACGACGAAGAGCTGGATGACTATGCGCCCAATGGCTTGGACAACGACGATGTTGATGGTGATGGTGATGATGATGATGATGATGATGACGACGATGATGACGAAGACGATGCTCTGGCAGACAAAGCATTGGCCCATAATCTAGAAAATGTGCCCTGCACCTCCAACTCATCAAACTCCATGGCTCCCCTGGAGCATACGGTGATTACGGCCAATGGTGACATTCTGACTATTGGCAGCGGTGCCTGGACGAATCGAGCTGGCGCCTTTGTCAGCGACAAAATGTCTTTTTTCGAGGAGTCGCGTGCCTTCATTGATAAGTATTTGGGACGTTGGAACGCCAATGATGGGCAGCAGCAGCAGGAGTTGAGCAAACAACAAGGAACGGCCTCTGAGACTGATGAACAGCTGGACGAGTGCACATCGGGTGCCACCAGTGGTGAGGAGGTGTGGGGCACCCCCACCAGTGGTGGCGAAAACGATGATATGCAGCTGATAAATTCGGAAAATACGCACTCGGTAGGTACCAACTGTTCTCCGTGAATCTTGAAATGTACAGTTATGGAACCGAAACATATGTATTTTGAAATATTAACTGCTTTACATATTCTCCCTTCCTTCGAACATTAAAGTCGCCTACCAAGTCGAGCACATCGCTGAATGATGATGATGACACGGAGCTTATGATGGACGAGCTGCTTATGGCACCACCAATGACCGCGAGCACCATTCGGGGATTGCTGCCACGGTATGTCGTAGCTGTTTTGTTTTATTTTGTTAGCTAGAACTTTTGGTAGACCTATGTAGTTACGACCAGATGAACAGCGGCAGCAGCAGAAGCTATAAAAAGTATTTCATTTCTAGACATACATACATATGTAGAAATAATTTAAAATGCTCTGATAGTGGCACCATTAACCTGACAATTATTATGACTTACTTCTTCTTCTTTTTGTATTCTTATGGATTTCTGTAGTTTTTACAGGTACCTCTCTATATACTCGTATACTATGTACAATATATTTTGTTCGATTTTGAAATTCTTGACCATTACTTCGACAACATGCTATTGAAAACTCATTTGAATTGAATTCGCTATCACATTGTACTTAGTGCGCCAAAATAGGCCTTATACTAGATATCTATATATAAATGTATTTATGTAATCCTAGCTAGTCTCGATCATTGGGTTAGTTAGCTGGGTCCACACATCACATTTACAATTAAGTAATAGGAGCAGCTACGGATTGACTCATCAATGTATCCGTATGTACGAACTTCTGACAGACTCAAGTGCTTTTGGTTAGCTTTAGTCCTTAGACCAATTCGTGCTCATTCAAGTAGTGTCTTCTTAAAAGTACTTTATAGTTAGATATATATTGAAACTTTGAAATATGCTTAAACCAAAATTTATATCATTTATGCCATCATTACAACAATACCAACAAAAATAACAACGACACCATATCATACAACAAACAACGCACACGAACTCATCAATTATATTTAATTCCAATTCGTTACATCGTATATATGTATCGTATGTATATCAATCAAACAATCAATCAATCAATCAATCAACCAACCAAACAAACAAACAAACGAACAACTTTCGTAATGCTTAGACGTCGCCTTGAGCCACTGTTTGAGGAGGAGACCGAAAGCGATGAAGAGAAAACGCAGCAGGATAGCGATGACATCAAAAAGGTGGGTCGTATTTAGAAGAAATCAATTGCCAAGCGGCCATGATTCTTCTTCTTCTACTACAACTACTAAGTACTACTACTACTTAACTCAAAACACTTGTTTTGGTTGCTGGCAGCACTGGCTGTTTGCTGTGCAGCATTGTGGCGCATGGCAATGCCGCAGCAATACTGCAGCAACGAAAATCAAAACTTGATTATTTAAGGTGCATGCAAAAATGCGCTGTTTTTTTTTTTTTTAATTCAGTTTTTAATGATTTCATTTCATTGTTGGTTTTCTTCTCTTTTTTTGGCTCTTTTTCATATGCAACCGACAACTAACAACCATTGCATCATCATCAAATGTCATCAATCAATCAAATGTTCAATCATTGATACGCACCACCACCGCCCATCAATCGACCAAACAATCAACGCAATAATCATCATTCCAAATCAAACTGCAATTTTGTAATTTGTACTTAAATAATACTATTGTTAATATGATAATATTTTTGTTGTGCCAACTGTACCTGCAATTGCTTGTAATACTCGTACACTCACACCCATTCGAACACCGCCGTTTTTGTGTCTGTGTTATTAACTAAACGATGCCAATTGTTGTTCTTTCTTTATCGTATTATATCCATATATTGAAATTAATCGTGTTATATAGAAAGTCGTAGTGAAATTAGTGAAGCTTTAGCCAAACTTGCAATATTGCGAACTCATAAACATCAAACGCAAAGACAAAGACCCTGACAAAGACAATGACCACACAACAACAACAACAACAACAACAACCACAACTACAATAACAGCAACAACAACCTGAACTACACAAGTCACAGGGCAACGTGGCCGAAAAAAACCTCATCTATAACATCAAGCGATTACAATCAATCAAATTGAAATTAAATCTCAAATCGACAAAGAAATCAAAGCCAAGCTTTAAAATTCGACAACGGCGCCCCATCACAATCAACCACCACCACCACCACAACCACTACGAACCTCCACTGTAAACAACCAACTACCTCGAACCTCAACTTACTAAATCAAAAATGCCATCAACTGCAAGTAGGCCGCTTTACCTCAACCAGAATTGATTAGTTGAATTCTATTCCCAATAATTGGTAGGGGGAAGCAACGACAAATGGCCACTACCTAGAGGATTTGGCTGGAAGTTCAAGCGACGAAGTAGCACCTCATCGTGCGGGGGAGAAGGAGGAGGAGGAGGAGGAGGACGAGGAGGAGCCACATTCGAGCGAGGAACGTTTACAGCCGAATTTGGCGACGAGTACACTGGGGCCTCGACCCTTGATCAAGCCCATACTCACTACTACGGTGCTGCCCACCACCTCAATAACCACACAGATGGCGGTACCAGTAATAGCACCACCTCCGGTATCATCTTGCGAGTATCTACTCGAACAGCGACGCGTTACAGAGCCATCGGCAATGACGAGGACGACGATGACGACCACGACAACGACCACAATGATAATGACGACGACAACGACAACGATGGCGACGATGATACCGACGAGTACTACGGTGATGCCGACTATACCGTCGACTACAGTGACAGTGTCGATACAGACGCCATTGCCGTTACCGTTGCCGCCAACAACCTCAGCCTTGGCATCCACAATGTCAGCCGCATCGATGACGACGACCATGGTGAGTCGAGCTCCTTCATCGACTTCTACAACAATCAGCAGCGGGAGCGGCATTATCAGCAACGCCGGCAGAGCCAGCGCACGGCCACCGAAATTCATACCACCACCGCCACCGCCTCGACGTCTGCTCTTAACGCAGACAAATCTAAGCGCTGCAGCGGCCAAAGCGGTAAGTGACTTGAAATGTTGAAAGCCTTCCAATATTTAAAAACAGTTTCAAGTTAAATCAGTTTATGGTACAATGTTGGCATGCCTCTCAAAACAAGTCCTTCAGCCTAATTGTTGATTCATCTTTAAAATAAGCCGACTTAGCTTTTAGCTACCTACTATGAATAATCTGAGTTGACTAAGAAACAACTAATCCACAACCCACACACTAAATCACTTTACTTTCAGCGCCAACCTCACGAAAAATCTGGCGCTATTGCTGACAGTGGCTGCTCGGCGGCTGCCGACGACGTCGCCAGCGGTTCGCCCAAAACCGATATCGCGTCAAGGACAATGCCTGCGAGTACCAAGCCCTCTGCGCCGGCAACAGCAGTGGCGCTCATCCAAAAACGCCCATCCTCAACGATAATCGAGACCTGCCTGCTGGGGGCCGCAGTGCCAGCGGCGTCAGCGCCAAAGCCCATCTCAGTCACTTCATCAGCAACAGCCTCGAGGATGGCAAAAGCGATGCCGCGGACGAGCGGCTCGGCGAGCAGCCAAGCTGTAGTGGACGACGTGGTGGGGGCACCACTCGCAAGCACACGCTCGGCCGCTGCCCCAGCGCCGCACGCTGGTTGCGGTTTAAGTCCAAGGCTGGAAATGCGTCTAGCACTCAACCACGACATCCTAGGGGACGAGGACTTGATTTGTTACGAGCCTGGTCCAGATCTAACAACTATTCTGGGGTAAGTGAAAAAGTCATCTATTGGTTTCCCATTTTCAGTAAATCTCACAAAAAAAGAAAAAAGAAGATTGTACCAAAGATTGTCCATAGATTAAATTAATTTCGACATCGAAGTTATGAAAAGCAATTCAAACTCTTTTCTACAAAATACCCTTTCGATATTTAGACGAAGTATTAACAAGCAATAGTTATTTAAAAATGTCTAAGCATTTCCTGACTTTTATGCAAGGTTTGTTTTAAATAACTAGAGAGCTCAGCAGCATGTTTCGAAAGTTCCGTCAACGAAACATGAAGCTACTGGCAGCATGTTGCTTTACTGCAATGAAAGCAACTTTATTGCTGAAACATTTCACATATAGGGTGCATATTTGATAGTCACTCATGCAACCCTAGAGCTCAGCAGAGTGTTTCTAAAGATCCGTTAACGAAACATTATGTTGCTGGCAGCATGTTGATTCAATGGGTAGCACTTTATTGCTAAGACATATAACCTATGAGGTATTTGCTTATAAACCCCCAAAACTTAACTTATTGGCAACCAATATTTTTAAAATTGATTTTTTATTAATTTTTCTGGATTGTCTTCATTTGTATTGCGTAGGCACGACCTCTCCACATTTCATCGTCTGACGGGTCGCGATTTATTGAGTCGTTCTGCCACGAATCGGGTACAGCCAAGAGAGGCTGTCATATCGTACTCTCAACAACGCAACTCAAAGATGGACACGCCGACGGTGAATCGGCGGCCACGTCCGCTGGTGGCATCGGCGGCACCACACAGCAGCCACAGCAGCAGCAGCCACGGCAGTCCGCGAGGCGGTGGTTCAGTTCGTGCCGTCGCCGATCGTCAGCATCCGCAGCCAAGTCTAAATACATGGAGCAGCTCTGCATTTGCGGATCGAGTAGGCGGCGGGAGCGGAAGCGGCGTCGCCAGCAGCACAAATTACAGTTACAGCAGCGGCGTGAACAAATTAGGCGATCTGGAAATCTTAGCGAGACGCGAGAAGATATATTGCATGTCTCAATCGAAGAGTGGCTCTCAAGTCAGGGAGACATCAATGACGACAACAACAACAACGACGACGACGATGGCAACGAGACACGGCTGTTCCTTGCCGAGCCGAGCAACAACACCAGCGGCAGCAGCAGCCTCTCTGACGAGGACGATGAGTACTACTTCGATGGATGCAGCAGTGGCAACAACAACAACAACAGCAACAACGACTGAAGCGTTGACCGCATCCAGCATCGAGATGGATGCATACAAGTCCAATCGTTTGTGAGTACCAATAACTAGGCTATTAGAGAATACATTATGGACCTGGATACTAGCTATGGAGCTAGTTCCCAAAAATTTTGAAAGGAACCTTTTCTGAAGCTTGCCCGAACACTTTTTCTTTCTTAAAAATATTAGAGCTTCAGCTTACTAAGATACATCGGTCGGACAATAAAGGTAGTTCTTTAAAAAAAACCTATTTGTCAACAAACATACCCAACAACTCTAGACTGTATTCATTAACTGGGCGAAGCAAATCCCAATCGAGTGGTCTGTCTAAGTATAGTATAGTATATCCATATTTCATAAGCTTGCAAATTATTCCAAATTCCAACGAATCTAATCGAAATACTTTCGACCTTGCTCCAGAATCAATTTCATAAAGCGCCGCAACTCTGAGATAACAGCCAGCAGTAGCAGCACCACCAACTACTCTGATAGCGCACTCAATGAGCAGCCGGCCACTAGCCAGAGCAGTCTGCTAATGCAGAAGCCGTCGACGGCAGGCGGCAATGCGGCGGAAATGGCCCAAATGTCGCCGCGCAAGGATAATGTAAGTTGTAGCTTAACCCCATCGATATTATATTTGGCATAATGCCTCGAATATGCAGGATAAGCCCTCGCTAAATCGACGCTTGTGGAAACAGATAACGAAACGACGTCGCACCAACTCCGTATCCCAAATTGTTGCGGGCTGAAGAAGTGGCGATGCAGCCCCGAAATCTCGTGAAATTGCAGTTGCAGTTTATCACTCAAACACCTATACACACACACACATATTCGTACACACAGACACACCATAGGCCAAATGTTTAGGTGCACCTTTTGAGTAGCGCAAGTATAGATAGGTCTGGATAACGATAGAGAGTTTTTGTCTTTGGCTGCTGTGTGATCTTTTTAAATGTATTTTAGTGCAATAATATGTGTTTCTATATACTTGTACTTAGGTTTATCGTTTAGGTTTTAACATTTAGTTCAATTTTTAGCATTAAATACCGTTACGCCGCAAAGTATGCTATAATAAGTTGAAATGAGCTCGCCCCAACACCGAGAGAGAAGGAAGTAAGAAGCTGCGAATCGGTGTTAGCGACAAAAAAAAAACACATACATACAATGGACTGGTATTTTTTAGCTGTAGTAACAGCAAACTAAACAGCAAACAACTATGTAAAATGTACGTTTACTTAATCTTTTGATACTACTTCGTAGCTAGTACAAAAAAAAAACGAAAAGAAAATTGAAAAAGAACAAAAAAGCTAACAAAAATCAGCTAATACACAATGAAACCGTTTGATCGTTTAATACAATATCTATTCGATGACTCGAATGATTTAAGCCGATCTACTATAGACGTCCATTTACGTCCAAACGCATGCGCCAACGATACTCCTGCCAACTGCTGGGCTCTAAATGCGGGCATATATCGCACAGGTGTGCAGTCTATATATTAACTATATAACTTTAAGCCAAACAAACAACCAAATATAACGACGAGAATCAAGCAACAAAATCATTCAGATATGTACGCAACAACGAAATGGCAGCAAGGCAGAGATTTAAGATCACAAATGCGAGTACATCAAACTATTAGAGCCCTGCATGTGCGCAAATCGAACTCTGAATTCCTATTAAAGCACTGTTCAATTGTTTTTAATAACGAAGGAATGCAAACAAACACTTTGTCTACAATTCAACAACAGAAAGTTGATAAAAAAAAGTCATGTTTTGACTCCTAGTTTGAATCACGCTTTGAATGATCGTTACTTTAGTTAAGTAATTTACATAGTCAACTTTTCGTTGGAGGCATACGTCTCTACATAACTAACTAAGAATTCTTTTCTTAAAATTGTGGTGAATAAGAGTTATTATTTTAATATTTCATGGTTACAAGGAGAAGTTAAAAACGAACAAAACTAATGAATATCAGGTTCAGCATGAGAGTGTTTTAATAACAATTTTCAAACTTGGAATACCTAAACATTATTTTAATCTAAATGGCAAAAATGTTTCATACTATCACCAACTACCAGTACTTTATGAAACAAGTTGATTCCAAACAGAGTTCTTAATGACTTCACTCATGCAGGACTTTATTGTGCAGATGCCAAGAGTAAACTAACTAGTACATAGAAACATACATGAGTACATATGTAAATATATGCATATATGGCCCGTTTGGCAGTCCACTTCAAACTTAGCGCAGTGTATATCGAATACACTCACTGATACACTAATTTACACAGAGACTCAACAATAGAAAGTCCAGCCAAATTAGCAAACATTGTAAGAACAAATGAGCATACATATTAAATATGTACACACACATACAAATACACACATGCAGACACAAGCACACTTGAATACTTTAAAACAATACATGCATATACATACGAGTAGTATATATTTTTAGGGCGCTTAGCAAAGCATCAGATTGGAAAGTCAAATTAGTTGATTAGCAAGGGATTTTATGATTTGTAATCATTGATTTTTAAATTATACATACAATGAAATTGCCTTACGTATAATTATACTATTATATACATAAATATATATATATACACGTACTATATTTGTAGCTTAAATGGAGAGGCATACGTTTATACATTTTATGGCATATTTGGCAATTGGCATTGTCTTGGTATCGTGTATTGGCTGCGACAACAAATTTTAACAGTAATTCCAATTACAATTTAAATTTTTCTCTAATAACTAACATTTTGTTCACATAATGACATTACATACATACATACATATATATACATATACATAGACATATGTACACGTGCATTTTGTAGTTTATTTCACATTGAAATTGTTAATGGCAATTGAAGCTAAGAAATTATACGAATTAATAACAAAACGATCAAGTACATTTATCAGCTTTAATAGAAAATCTAATTATATATAAAGATTATATGAGAATTATATATATATATACATACATATACTTGTAATATGTGTATAAATACATCAGATGGCATGTATGGAATCGAATAATTAGGCATTTATCACTCAAAGCAGCAACAACGACTAATCGCAGTCGATTACTCGTTTTAGGACACGTTCACACGTTGCTAACTACGCTGTGCAGAGCCAACAAACATAAGGCAATGCTTACACTACAATCCATTCGAAATTCGAATCGCATTCGCATTCATTTCCAGCCAAAAAAGCAACATTTGCGAAACGGTTTTCTTCTTTTGTTCCAAAATAAACGTTTGCTGCTTTCCACTTATCACTCGGCTCTACACTCGTCAGTTGTATGTTCTACAATTTTTTACTCCGGGCTATTACGCTGATGGTGATCATAGAGGAATGTTAATGATAATGCTTACGATGTGCGATTGTGTGTATACGTCTACATATTTAAAGATTTACTTTATCTATGAACGATATAAACAAATTCGAAATGCAATTAAACCATCTCAAATGAATATTTGATGCAATTTTTTGTCAAAACTATTTTAGTGAATAGATTGAAGAAATAATTATATTAATATTAATAAATCAAAAAATTAGCAAATGAATTTTCCTCTTGAAATTCAAAATACAACAAATAAAAACAGAACGGAAATCAATTTCAATTGTTTATTTGAGCACAGTAAAGATAAATTCAAATAAAACTCAATCGAAATAAATTGGTATGCGTATTTATTGAAAACAATCCAATTCAGAAGATAGGGTCTTAAGGTAAGTAAGGTCAGATTATTGTTATTATAAAAATATCTATAATTGATTGGGCTTTAACATTATTTGAAGACATACCCCAAAGATACTTCAGACTGTTAATGTGCCAATGTCTATTAATTAATTCGTCTCGGTTTTGAGTATTATTGGAGGCATCAGAAAAAATCGTTCACTGGTCTAGGTCAGAGCTTATTTGAACCACTTGATAATTTAACATAATTCTACATATTTTTTTTAAAAATGTTCTTATTAGTTGGTATTAGCCTACTTATTAAAACTGTTTGGTTACTTAACCTCAACGATATTGCACATCTTACACACCAGAGAGTTTTGTCTTTTAATGCCCTGTTTTTGGTTACTGATTCGACAACGCTTAGGTCGGTCCGCTTGATTGATTTTCACGTTCCTTTGCACGCGCATTGCCGGTCATTTCAGTTGCGGCACGATTTTGAATGCACACAGCACAGCAAATTAATTGTAATTCTAATGGAAGCCCAACCCCAGGTTACAGTCGGCCTAGCTGTGCGGCCCCCAATGTGCGGGACCCAGTCTCAGCCTCAGTCTCAGCCGCAACCCCAGTCCCAGTTTAGCCTCCACTATAAGCCTCGACCACGTAATGTGCGTGCAATGTGCAGTCAGTGCAATGGCACGGGCTCTCTCTCTCTCTCTCTAGGCTGTGTTTGTTTCTGTTGCTGCCCTGTAGTACTGAAAGTGTCAGTTGGCGCTTGGAGTTACTAGGAGTCGACTCGAGAAAGATTGCAAGCTGTCTCTCTTTCCATTGAGAAAGCGGAGAGATGCCTTTGCCTTTCATTTTATATATTTTGAGCGCTAAAAAGAATAAGAGTATAAAGCAAACACACAAATGAACAATTAGAATACAACTGTTAATGCATTCTAGCCGTTCTTGTGAAAATGTCGCCCGCTGTGTATAAGTTAACAAAAAATATAAACAATTGTCAAGCCCGAGCGTAGACAGAGATTACATTTATGCCTTATACGTTTCCTTAATTCCTTTGTCTTATTTGGATAAACAGTATAATGGAGAAAAGAACAAGAATATGAAATATTTCTTACACTTCAGCCTACACCATTTCTCCGCAGAATTGTCAGTGATGCGCCATTCGGCGATGAGAGACTGATACCCGTTACTGCAAGGGGATCTTATTGTTGTTGCTGCTGCAGTAGCTCGCGCTAAAGAGCGAAGCGCCGCCACTGCGGCTACCGCTCAGCTGAGCGGGCTGCCGTTTGCTGTTGTTTCTGTTGCTGTTTTGCTTTTTACCGTGTGGCGGCGATTGTCAAAAGCACAGCCGCTCAGTTTCAGTTTCAAAACGAGTTTCGTGGTGAACGGTCGAGCGCAACTCGTCGTCGTCGTCATCGTCGTCACCATCGCAGTCCAAAGCAAAGCAACAACAGCAGCACGTTGCGTCGTCGCAGTTGTCGTTTGTCGCACGAGGAATTTTTTGCCAAGATTTCGCCTGCGTGGTGTTGTATGTGTTTGTGTGTGCATTGATTTTGTTTGTTTATTTACCAACGTTGTTCTTCCTTCCAATTACTCTTTTTTTTTTGCACTTTTTTTGTGTGTCAATAGTCTCCAACTAATGTGAATGTGAATGTGCTCGTATTCTTGTTCTTATTAATAATATTATCATGCCAATTGTTGGGCCACAGTTTGCAGATTATATTAACATCTAATTTGTTCTAAGTGTAAGCATATAGAAGTGTTTTATTTTTTCTTACATATATTTTTGTTTTTGGTATTTTCGCTTTTCTGTACATATGTACTTACATACATACTTGTATGTATGTATGTTTAGCTGCATGTGAACTAACAGGAAACGACGGGCACATAAAAAGGCATTAAGAAGCAGAACGCTCTAAGTACTGAAAAATTAAAAGCGCAGCGCGAACCACCGTCAAACCACCGCCGCCGCCGTCGTCGTCGTCGTCGCTTGGCTATGGACCCCTAGCCATACACGCACACACACACACACACACACACACTCGCTAATTGAGGTCGTGCGTCGTTTTGTTGGTAAGTCAGTTATTTGTGTTGCTTCCGTTGTGTTGCCAACATTGAAATTCACTTACATACGAAAGTACGAGTACTTGTAACTGTAACTGTAACTATGTGCCGCTGCCGCTGATGCCGCCTTGCTGCCTACTCTCTGGGCTCTTCTCTCTTATCTCTGTGACGGTGCCTGTGCCTGTGCCGTAGATGAACCAACGGTAAATAATGCTGCTAACAATCAGCAGCCATCAGCCGGAGCAGTTAATAGGCAGCAGTCATCAGACATATTCGCATTCGCATTCGCACTCGCATTGTCTATTCCATTCGGGTGTGGTGGTGAGGGGAGCTCAGCAGGCGGGTAAAAGCTTTTGGGCCACTTGCCTGCCACAAACACGGAAAACTTTTGCGCGCATGAAAATCAAAAGGCAAAATGACAGAGACATGCATATATACGTACAGTCAAAAGTCTATAAGACAAACCAATGCAATAAAAAAAGGCCATTAATGTTCAGGGTGCCTTAAAAACTTCAAGTACAGCTAGAGAACAGCTGGCTGACTTAATAAATGATACAATGGAATGTTATGGGAATAAACAATACTTGACAGCCACCTATAGCATTAATTACACAATTAATTGCAATATTTATTTTATTGAAATTTGTAGTCCATTGTATTGCCGAATATAGTTAAATTTAGCAATCTATAATCCACACATTATCATCTCAAATTTAATGAACGGATCGTTCATGAAGAAACTTTAAAATATGCTTTAAAATCATCACAATTTAGGTGATTTTATTGTGTCATCTTATCAATGAGCTCCCTGACATGATATCTCCATAAGAATGTAATTTTAAATGACATACTATATGCGTTTCAATCTACACAATTTACATTTTAAATTGGTAACTAAAATGTACTTCATACATACATACATATGTATGTATATAAACTATAGCTGTTTTGGGAGCCGAATAACTCAATTATTTATATTCCTGTACTTGTTGAGTAAAATGGGGATGTAACAGCCAGAAGAAATAATCTCCGACACTATAAAGAATATATATATTCTTTATAATCATGACGAGACGAATCAACATAGCCGTGTCCGTCTGTCCAGCCTGGATTTCGGAAACGGCTGAGCCCACTTAAACTGATTAAACTTGATAAGTAGGCTCTCCTAATCCTTAAGCAACACGAAAGTATTTTATTTTGTATAACCCCCCTCCCCTCTCCAGCTACAGAATGTCGTCAAAACTGTCCACAATTCCAAAGCCAAATAAAGTTCACTTTGCATACATACGAGTACTTATATAATAATATATGTATTTTGCAGTGCATTTCTCAAAGGCTTCCCTGTACTCAATGCACATGTTGTTACTTGTGTTGTTGGGTGTTGCTCGCGATCAGCAACATTCAACATTCACACTGCCATCTCCCATTTCCCGTCTCCCATCCTCCCGCTTTCTCCCTCTCTCTTAGTGGTTTATAGCGTGCGAGTTTACGGCGCAATGCGCCTAATAAACAATGAGTTAGGCAGAGGCGGGCAGGCCGATGTTGCTGAGTAGAGTGGGGAGTGGGGAGCAGGGTAGCGGGGCAGCGGGGATCAAAGCGATCGTTTGGAAAATGTTACGCAGCAGTGAAAGCAAAGTTGAGTGCAACTGTGTCCGAATGGTGGAGCGTTAAGAATTGTGCTTGGGCAAATATTTCTTGGCATAGCACCAATGCTAATGATAATAAAAATAAAAATAATTATCTAACTACTCGCTATCTACTCGCTTCGCCATAATGTAAGGTATGTCTTGATGATGATGGCGATGGCGATGTCGATATTTCAAGAGCGCAACGGAAGCGTGTAGCTTGCTTCCAAAGTACTTCTTCTTGTGTGTGTGTTTTTTTTTTTGTATTTGACTATGTAAGGTCAAATAACATAAAACTGAGCACATCGAGTACTAAAATGCATATTAAGTATGTTGGCAAGAATTTCAACAGCCACCAAAAATAAAGTTTGAAAAAAAGTAAAATGAAAACAAGTAAAAAAGCTAATGTCAAGTGTCCCGACTTTGAAATACTCTGTACATATGTTCGGAAATTAAAAAAATTAAGAAAATTAAAAAAAAATGTTTGATCGATTTTACTTTTTTCGTGAGTTCGCACGTAATACATATGTATACAAAGCATCTATGTGAGTGTATGTAGGTCTATGCGCGTCTATTCGTGTCTGAGCATGTTTGCAGTCAACCGAAGCAGACAGGCATACATATATCGACTCGTCTTGTTATGCTGATCAAGAATATATATACTTTGTGGGGTCTGCCACGCCTCCTTCTGTCTGGTACATTTTCAGGTCCCGCAAACCTAATATACTCCTGTCCTGTACATTTGTACCGAGCATGTACCGAGCATAAAAATATCATGTCATGTCTTGCACCAGCTCCTCAACAGAAATCAATATAAACCAAACTTGGAACGCACATCCAGGAAAACGCGAAGGAAACAAATAATACCCTATCTCTTAAGAGCATCAGACAAATGAACGGTCAAATAAAAATTATATTTATTAATAATATTCAAATCAAAAATATAATTATAAAATAAATGTACATTGATGGAGGCCCAAAAGCCCAAAAGAGGGAAGAGTCCAATCGGGAAAATGATAAAGATGCCAAAAAGAAAAGCCCAAAGCACAGATAATGGACGAAATAGAACAAAACGTAATTAAAAAGCTTAAAATACAAAAAAATAAATAAAAAATTGTTGCAGCAGTTGTGAACTGTTTGCTAAACAGAACTGAAATGAGAAATAATTCGAAAGCTCTGACAGCCACAAAAACCTCAACGCCTACTAACATTTACTATTTCAACAAAAAAAAGGTTGGAAACTCAGGTTTATGAACACTTTTTTAATTGCTAAAAAAAAAAAAAAAAAACTATGTGAGCCCTAATATAAAATGCTACTTGATCGAATTCAATTTCTAATTGTATTTCCAACTAAAGAAGATATAGCTTTAGATTTTCCACATTTTAGATTTTAATAAGTGAGTTTTCGTGGCAAATCAGGATTTTAAATCAATATGTTAAAGTGGAAGATAAATAAATCAGGGACCGCAAATAATGATTATTTTGTTTTTTTTTTTTTAACGAAAAAATCATTCTCTTATAGTAACTTTTGGAAAGCCAGGAATTTACTGCATTTATTCATCGAATGACTGAATATTTGTCGTATTCTTCTTCCATCTGTTTTTCTAACTTTCCCTTTTGTGTATTTTTGCTTTATCCTTTCAATCATACAATGGTGTCATAGAAAACTGTCTAAGGCATCTTTGTGCAAAATTTGGTGTCTCTATCTCTTATAGTCCCTGAGATCCAGGTGTTCATACGGACGGGCGGACAGAGAGACAGAAAGACAGACATATATCGACTCGTCTTGTCATGCTGATTAAGAATATATATGTACACCTTGTGGGGTCTGCCACGCCTCCTTCTGCCTGTTACACTTTCAGCTCCCGCCAACCTAATATACTCTTGTACATTTCATGCACAGAGTATAAAAATGTTAGCTGCGTTTCCTTTAAAAATTGATGCTGTCGCAATGGCAACAAGTTTCGCTTAGAAAACGATGCTAAACGCTAAAAACGCTAACGACAGCGATTTCTGATATAAAAAAAAATCGCAGCGCAAATAAACAAAAAAGCTTAAAAAAAAATCAACGAAAACAAAATGGCAAGTGCAAAAATTGCTTGCGAAAATTGATTAACGCAAAACTGGTTGGGAAGATAGCGTTTAGTGCTCGGTCAGCGTTTTGCTGATGATGCTTAGATGGGAGGGGGTAGGTAGAGAAGACAGCTAGAGGAACTGGTCAGCAGTATCTTAATCGGAGTGTCCCCTCCTGACGATTTCCCCATAACACAGTGGCATGTAAAATTTAAAAAATCGCTTACAATTTTGTTGAGGAATTTCATTTGTATTACGTTTTCAATATATTTATTACTAAGTTGGTTTCTAACTTGAAGGACATATTATATATCGCTTTTAACATCGCTTTTAATATTACATCAATGCTTTGATTAAAGTTATCTCCCGTTTGTGAATGGAGTTCTCCAAGAGCCTTGCATTGCGTGAAAGCCGAAGAATAATTCGTAAATAAATCCCTAAGTTATAGTTCTATATTCTTCATATTTGCTTTCGAAGTTCAAGTCAACAGAGATTGATTTGGCATCAGGGAGTACCTATTAAATTATCCTTTTAACTCCATTAAGAGTTTATTGAACTGCTTTTTAAAAAAGGGTTTTCCCCTATTTGGAGGTTAAATTCGTAAAAACCCACACTGTGGGGGTAATCAAAAATACAATTTTGAGCTCTACTTCTTCCATCAGCCTTAGTGGGTGTATAATATTTTTGGAGCAGAAGATAAAGCTTCACTTCTTGACAATTGAAGTTTCAAAATATTTACTCGTAGATGCTGAGCTGATACGTTTAAAAGATCAATATTAGTTATGTTAGAACATGTTTTATGTAGAAGTAAAGCCATTAATGTCTCATTTAGAATATGCCTTCAGACCGTCACTTTATGGCAAAGGTGCAATTTTCCTGAAATATTTGTATCTGTATTCAATTGAAAGTCTTCATTGTTATACACTTTTATGGACTAAAGGTAAAACTCGACCTTCCATCCCACTGTGCAAGCTTTTGCAACAGCCGACCAGCAATGTCGCAGTGTAAATGAATAAAATTATTGCTCAAAATATTTAATTGAAATTCACATAAAGCCCAAAAAAACGAAACGCAATGCAAACAAAAAGCGACAGAGCTGCTTTTTTTGTATACTTTTTTTTAAATATTATTTTTGGCAAATTTAGTGACGCTTTTTTGTTGCTTTCAACTTTATTGTTGTTGGTGGTTTGTGTACAGATATTGCCGAACACATTTCACTCGGCCAAAGCAAAAAGAGTGATAAACTGGTTTGGCAGTTTGAATTGAATTTTATTTATGTATTTGCATCGCAACACGCAAAAGAGCTTAAAC